CTTCAAGGGATACTTCCACAACATTAATCTTCAAGGAATACTTCCACAACATAAATCTTCAAGGGATACTTCCACAACATAAATCTTCAAGGGATACTTCCACAACATGAATCTTCAAGGGATACTTCCACAACATACTTGCCATCAGAGTGACTGCCAACAATGGCTCACTTTCAGAGTATGAAAGATGTGGAGTCACTGACACAGGGAAGAGAGATACTGTGCTACTTCTCAATGGTTAGAGTATTCGCCTCGCAACCGAAAATACGTGGGATCGAACCCTGGGCGAGATGGGACGCATGAGTAACTCTCCTTACGTCTGCTACTTCTGTTTACCTAGCACTAAATAGGTACCTAGAAGTTAGTCGTTGGAAAGACCTTAAGGAACTTCATTGTAATTAAGGCATATTGTTGAGTAAGTGCCTTCTGCTGGCCTATCAGTTCATAAGACAAGATTTGTTTGGAATTTTAAACCGGAGGATTAGTCACCCAGAATAACCCCCGAAAGTCGAGGACTGTCCGTCTTATTTACATTTGGGTCCTTCAATCTTGTCCCCCACCAGTTGACTATCACCCAGGTTGACTAACACCCAGGTTGACTATCACCCAGGTTGACTATCACCCAGGTTGACTATCACCCAGGTTGACTATCACCCAGGTTGACTAACACTCAGGTTGACTATCACCCAGGTTGACTAACACCCAGGTTGACTAACACCCAGGTTGACTAACACCCAGGTTGACTAACACCCAGGTTGACTAACACACAGGTTGACTAACACCCAGCGTGACTAACACCCAGGTTTTCTAACACCCAGGTTGACTAACACCCAGGTTGAGTAACACCCAGGTTGACTAACACCCAGGGTGACTAACACCCAGGTTGACTAACACCCAGGTTTACTAACACCCAGGTTGACTAACAACCAGGTTGACTAACACCCAGGTTGACTAACGCCCAGGTTGACTAACACCCAGGTTGACTAACAACCAGGTTGACTAACACCCAGGTTGATTTTTTTTTTTATTCGCCGGTATTCTCCCGGCCCCGGTCTTTTCCAAGTAGTGGTGACCCGGTCTTGGCTCCCTATCTGGGGAGCGTCTCGAGACGTAAGTCTCCCATGGAAGGAGATACAAGTACCCCCTCATCTTTGGGACCAAGAGTCCCCAGGCCTAGCCACAGTCCCCGCCCTCACGGGGCTCGTAGGGAGAAGCTAGGCCTCTGGTCTGTCATCTGCCCCGCCCCAAAGGGGCTCGTGGGGATGGCAGTCTTATGAGCTGCAGGTGGTAGCAAGTTCAGACCTCTATCCAGATTGACTAACACCCAGGTTGACTAACACCCAGGTTGACTAACACCCAGGTTGACTAACACCCAGGTACCTACACTTACTTATAAGTGAACATGAACAGCAGATATAAGGAAACATGTTAAACATTGGCATCCATGCCGGTGACTGAACCACGAACACTCAGTGTGGAAGGCGGGAGCATTGCCAACCAAGCCCCTTTTTCTGCGAGTTTAAGTGGAAATACTAGGTACTTAAAGAGGGATATATGAACAATCACCTGAAGCTTCAAAATGTTCTCTATATCGCCGACCAGGCCAAGGTGATGTCTTGCCAACCTTTCTTGATATTTTTCTTCGATGATGAAGTCTTCGTTTCTTCTTATTGTTGCTTTTACGTTTCCTCTTTTCATAGGAATTTTCTCCCTTTATGTTGTGATCCAACCAGTCATCAATGGTAATCTGCAGAAAGAGTAGTTAGTTTAATATGTTTATTATGCACCCCATACCCATCCTGTGGGCGGTAGTCACCACATACCCATCCTGTGGGCGGTAGTCACCACTTACCCATCCTGTGGGCGTAGTCACCCCATACCCATCTGTGGGCGGTAGTCACCACATACCCATCCTGTGGGCGGTAGTCACCACATACCCATCATGTGGGCGGTAGTCACCACATACCCATCCTGTGGGCGGTAGTCACCCCATACCCATCCTGTGGGCGGTAGTCACCACATACCCATCCTGTGGGCGGTAGTCACCACATACCCATCATGTGGGCGGTAGTCACCACATACCCATCCTGTGGGCGGTAGTCACCACATAAACCCCTCCTGTGGGTGGTAGTCACCACATACCCATCATGTTGGGGGGTAGGGCACCCCATAACCCCTCCTGTGGGCGGTACTCACCACATTACCCATCATGGGCGGGTAGTCACCCCATACCCCTCCTGTGGGCGGTATCACCACATAACCCATCCTGTGGGGGGTAGTCAAACCCCATACCCATCCTTGGGGGCGGTAGTCACCACCCTACCCATCCTGTGGGCGGTAGTCACCACATACCCATCCTGTGGGCGGTAGTCACCCCATACCCATCCCCGTGGGCGGTAGTCACCCCATACCCATCCTGTGGGTGGTAGTCACCACATACCCATCCTGTTTGGGGGGTAGTCACCACATACCCATCCTGTGGGCGGTAGTCACCCCATACCCATCCGTGGGCGGTAGTCACCACATACCCATCCTGTGGGTGGTAGTCACCACATTTCCCATCCGTGGCGGTAGTCACCCCATACCCATCTTGTGGGCGGTAGTCAAACCCCCTACCCATCCTGTGGGCGGTAGTCACCACATACCATCCTGTGGGTGGTAGTCACCACATACCCATCCTGTGGGCGGTAGTCACCCCATACCCATCTTGGGCGGTTTGTCACCACATACCCATCCTGTGGGCGGTAGTCACCCCATTCCCACTTGTGGGCGGTAGTCACCACTACCCATCCTGTGGGCGGTAGTCACCACATACCCATCTGTGGGTGGTAGTCCCACATACCCATCCTGTGGGCGGGAGTCACCCCATACCCATCTTGGGGGGCGGTAGTCACCCCATACCCATCCTGTGGGCGGTAGTCACCCCATACCCATCCTGTGGGCGGTAGTCACCACATACCCATCCTGTGGGCGGTAGTCACCACATACCCATCCTGTGGGCGGTAGTCACCACATACCCATCCTGTGGGCGGTAGTCACCACATACCCATCCTGTGGGCGGTAGTCACCACATACCCATCCTGGGGGCGGTAGTCACCCCTTCCCATCCTGGGGCGGTAGTCACCACATACCCATCCTGTGGGCGGTAGTCACCCCATACCCACCCTGTGGCGGTAGTCACCACATACCCATCCTGGGGCGGTAGTCAAAAGATTACAGAGGTACATAATTGGTCCAGGGACTGGACTCCAAAGTTTTGATAGCTGAGCAAGTTACAGAGGTAATGAACTCACAATTTACAAAGGTAATGAACTCACAATTTACAAAGGTAATGAACTCACAATTTACAAAGGTAATGAACTCACAATTTACAAAGGTAATGAACTCCAGGTAGGTCTGGTCACAACCATGACAAGTTACAAAGGTATTTACAGATTACAGAGGTACGTAATGGGTCCAGGGACTGGGCCCCCCAAAAGTTTTGATTAGCTGAACAGGTACAAAGGTAATGAGCTCACAAGTTACAAAGGTAATGAATTCTGTAGAATGGTTACTTACGTTTATACATGGCTACAATCATGAACAAATTATAGAGTAATGAGCAATTCACACTTCCACACCCGGTCACAACTGTAGTGAGTTATTGGTGCAAATATTGATTGTTGAGTCACACACACACACACACACACACACACACACACACACACACACACACACACACACACCTACTAGAGTTTTATGACAAGGTGACAGAAGTAAGACAAGAGAGAGAGGGGTGGATCGGATGCATTTTTTTGGACTGCAAGAAGGCCTTCGACACAGTTCCTCACAAGAGGTTACTGCAAAAGCTAGAGGATCAGGCACACATAACAGGAAAGGCACTGCAATGGATCAGAGAATACCTGACAGGGAGGCAACAACGAGTCATGGTACGTGACGAGGTGTCAGAGTGGGCGCCTGTGACAAGCGGGGTTCCACAGGGGTCAGTCCTAGGACCTGTGCTGTTCTTGGTATATGTGAGTGACATAACGGAAGGGATAGACTCAGAAGTGTCCTTGTTTGCGGACGATGTGAAGTTAATGAGAAGAATCAAATCGGATGAGGATCAGGCAGGACTACAAAGAGACCTGGACAGGCTACAAGCCTGGTCCAGCAACTGGCTCCTTGAGTTTAACCCTGCCAAATGCAAAGTCATGAAGATTGGGGAAGGGCAAAGAAGACCGCAGACACAATATAGTTTAGATGGCCAAAGTCTGCAAACCTCACTCAAGGAAAAAGATCTGGGGGTGAGTATAACACCGAGCATATCTCCTGCGGCGCACATCAATCAGATAACTGCTGCAGCATACGGGCGCCTGGCAAACCTACGGATAGCGTTCCGATACCTCAGTAAGGATTCGTTTAAGACTCTGTATACCATTTACGTCAGGCCCATACTGGAGTATGCAACACCAGTTTGGAATCCACACCTAGTCAAGCACGTCAAGAAATTAGAGAAAGTGCAAAGGTTTGCAACAAGACTAGTCCCAGAGCTACGGGGATTGTCCTACGAAGAAAGGTTGAGGGAAATCGGCCTGATGACACTGGAGGCCAGGAGGGTCAGGGGAGACATGATAACGACATATAAAATACTGCGCGGAATAGATGAGGTGGACAAAGACGGGATGTTCCAGAGATGGGACACAGACACAAGAGGTCACAATTGGAAGTTGAAGACTCAGATGAATCAAAGGGATGTTAGGAAGTATTTCTTCAGTCATAGAGTAGTCAGGCCGTGGAATAGCCTAGAAAGTGAAGTAGTGGAGGCGGGAACCATACATAGTTTTAAGGCGAGGTATGATAAAGCTCATGGAGCAGGAGAGAGAGGATCTAGTAGCAATCAGCGAAGAGGCGGGGCCAGGAGCTGTGAATCGACCCCTGCAACCACAAATAGGTGAGTACACAATCTTGGGCCGGGAGCTGCACGACCACTTATGCATACACCGTGTATGTAAGTGTTATGTATGGCCCTTTAATGTACGTATATGATGAACGTTTACTTTATTCCTGGCACTGGGGATTAAAATATTCTTGACTGGTGACGATTATTATTATTATTATAATCAAAGGGGAAGCGCTAAACCTGTAAGATTATACAGCGCTTGAGGGGGGGGGGATATGGAAGGTATTCAGGTTTAATTCAGGGAACTGGAGAACAGATCCAATTCCCTAGATCAAGAGCCCCTCACCAGCATCAAGGAACCTTCCTTGAGGGGACTGATGGCGAGATAATTAGAAATGTTGGGCAAGGATCCCAATGGAAATAAGTCACCTTTATCTACCGCCCACAGGATGGGTATGGGGTGCATAATAAACATATTAAACTAAACTATCTGACTTTTTTTTTGAGTTATCGTAAGTGATTTACACATATATTACTGCGTATGATAATTTGTGTAACTATTTATGTGTACCTGTACCTAAATAAACTTAATTTTTACTAAGATTAGATAAGGTCAGGTTTGTCAGGAAACAGAACAAGTGCTGCCTGACCAGTCAAGCTGATTCATTACCTCTGTAACTTGCCATGATTGTGACCAGATCTACCTGGAGTTCATTACCTTTGTGACTAGTTCAGCTATCATAACTTTGGGGTCCAGTCACTGGACCCATTATGTACCTTTGTAATCTTTTGACTACCGCCCACAGGATGGGTATGGGGTGCATAAAGATATTAAACTAAAGTGTGTGTGTGTGTGTGTGTGTGTGTGTGTGTGTGTGTGTGTGTGTGTGTGTGTGTGTGTGTGTGTGTGTGTGTGTGTGTGTGTGTGTGTGACTCAACAATCAATATTTGCACCAATAACTCATTACAGTTGTGACTGGGTGTGGAAGTGTGAATTGCTCATTACTCTATAATTTGTTCATGATTGTAGCCAAAGTATAAACGTAAGTAACCATTCTACAGAATTCATTACCTTTGTAACTTGTGAGCTCATTACCTTTGTACCTAGTTCAGCTATCAAAACTTTGGGGGCCCAGTCCCTGGACCCATTACGTACCTCTGTAATCTGTAAATACCTTTGTAACTTGTCATGATTGTGACCAGACTTACCTGGAGTTCATTACCTTTGTAAATTGTGAGTTCATTACCTTTGTAAATTGTGAGTTCATTACCTTTGTAAATTGTGAGTTCATTACCTCTGTAACTTGCTCAGCTATCAAAACTTTGGAGTCCAGTCCCTGGACCAATTATGTACCTCTGTAATCTTTTGACTACCGCCCACAGGATGGGTATGGGGTGCATAATAAACATATTAAACTAACTAAAACTAACCTGACCAGTCTTAGATTTTTTATTTTTTTAAGATTCGCTGGTACATTACCTGTGTACTGCAGAAAAGAAATACTGTATATGTACTATTATTATTATTATTATTATTATTATTATTATTATTATTATTATTATTATTATTATTATTATTAATACACTTGCTGCCCTGTTCAACTGGCAGTAAGAAAGTACCTGGGTGTTACTCGACTGTTGTGGGTCGCATCCTGGGAGGACAAGAATATTAAGAACCACAATGGAAATAAGACAGTCCCCGATGACGCACTGACTTTAATGGGTTATCTTAGGTGGCTAACTCTCCGGGGTTAAAAATCCCAACCTGGTAGTGCCTTTTGTTCTGTTGTTTCTTGGTAGCGCCCTTGTGTCTGTTGTCTTCCTGGTAGGGTCTTGTGTCTGTTGTCTTCTGGTAGTGTCTTGTG